TTCATGTACACATGCCCTAGATGATGCAAACCCTGTATGGAAAGGATAGACACTGAGATGAACATGTGCGTCTCACTAGGCTGGACATTTCAATCAGGGCTTTTCCCATGAATGTGTATATCATGAACAGGAACGCTGCCTCTTCTGCTTACTGTTCTCATTTTTTTCTGACTAGTTTCCCATCTCTGCCGAGGTTTCCGAAATGGATCATGAAACAAGGACACAGGAGATGGAACTATTTCTTGTGAAAATACTGCAGAAGGTGAACCACTCTCTTTATTGTGAAACGGAGAGAAATGATTCCCCAGACTGCACTGGACTTGCAGATTCTGCTAATGAGCAGCTGGTTAGCAGGCTGGGAATACGGTGTACTCCGGTCATTTTCCTTATGGCCTTATCCTCCATATCCCTCCTCAATCCTAATTCCTGTTACCTGCACTCACTGTGTGATGTCTAAAGTTAGAGGGCAGGAACTATGTCTTTCTGTACCACCGAGTGCACTTTCTGGCCCTTCTCAGATTCAGATTATGGGATGGATTCTCCATGAAACTGGCTCACGCTTTGTCCCAAAGCTTGGATCTCCTCCCAAAATGCAGGGACTATACCCCCAGAGTGGAAAAACATAAATAACCCCTCTTTCCAAATGAGTGTAATCATCTTGGGTGACATTGCCCACGGTGTGCAGGGACACAGCCCTCTTACACGTGCATGAATGAAGTGGGATAAGCTGTCTGGGAGGAAAGCTCTGGACCTTGTCTCCTCCCTAGTCAGCACAGAAGGTCACGTTAGAGGTGGTCGGGGGGTCAGGCCATGGGCGGGGCCATGGATCCATGTGTATGCAGACCCAGTGGCGTAGCCAGGTTCTAAGTGCAGGGGGAGCAAACATAAAGAAGGCGTCCCCCCTTGGCTCCTCCTCTGGCCACGCCCCCTTGGCTCCTCCTCCGGCCGCTCCGCGCCCCCCCCGTTAGCTGGCTCCTCCAGCCGTACCGCATCTCCCCCACCTTGGCTCCCCCGGCCACGCTGCGGCCATGCTGCGCCCCCCCTCGGAGGGGCTCAGTCCGGGGGGAGGGGGCTGGGCATGGCACTGCCTGGCCCGGCCGAGGAAGTTTTTAGGGTGCGGTTGGAGAAGGGGGGGAGAAGAGGCGAGAAAGTTTCACGTGCCCCCAGGCGGGACTCACCAGCTGCCGAGCGACCTCGGACTCGGAGGAAAACATGACACATGGGAGGGAAGAGACTCGCGGGAAACTCCAGGCGGTGCGGGCTGCCCCCCTGCCCTGAGGCCGGGCTGGAGGCTGCGGGCGTGGGGAAGGGGTGCCGGGTGCTGCTCGCTTCTCCCAGGGGCTGTGGGGGAGCGGAGCAGTGGGGTGGGCAGCAGCTGGCAGGCGGGCAGATCCCCACCTCTCTCCGGCAGCTTCCTGTTTCCCTTGGCCCGGGCGGGTGTGCTCGGCAGCCCAGCACTGGACCCGGAGAAGAAGCCTGTTGCTGCTTCCTGATATTTGTCCCCCAATCGCTTCCGGGAGGCGCTTGGGACGTTAGACGTGTTGGGGCTTCTCGTCCCCTCTCCCATCCCCGCCTCTCTTTGCACTGTAGAATGGGCTGCGAGCCGCTGCTAGGAGATACTGCTGCTGCCGCATCCAGGGGCGGGGCGCGCTCGGCCGCTGAGCCCTGAGCC